ACTATAAAAAAATTTCAAGTATCAGACATCAATTGGTACAGACAGCCTGGTCACATATACAGTAATACAGCAGTAGTTGACTGATAATCTTTTTCAAGTGTGAAAATAGGAAAGGAAGGGTCATTCAGCTGATCATTTGCTAAATTACTCATTTATGTACTTCAGGTATCAAAAGAAAAGCAGAGTTAGATAAATTAATAACAAACAAGCCTTATTTTTTATAAACACGAAAAATTATCTTGACCTTGGAGACTTAAAAAGCCTTCATACTGTAACATAAAACTGAATATAAACTACATACTGTACATATTAAAATACAGGTCTCAACCCTGGTGAGTTAATACAAATTCACTCTTCTTTGAACTCTAGTAACCCAACTCTAATCTCCAATGGGTTTTGAAAGTTAAACCAGAAAGGACTGTCAGTGTGAGGAGGTATGTATGTGTGTGTGCATACACAAACACACGTATATACCTTGTTCCCTAATTGATAAATTTAAGATATTCATATCTTAAAAGAGAAAATAGGTTGATATCTAATACCTTTATGTGTGGGATATTGAATTAACATTTGTTTATTATCTCTGAGAGTGTGACAGATCTGTGGAACAACTAATACCAATTCAAGGCCAGAATTTCAGGGCAAAGTGGGTTTGAGGTACACAGAAACTTAGCTCATGGTGATGGGAGTTGGCTCCAGTTTCTGTGTCTCAGTCATTAAGCCACGTCCCTACCCAAGCTGCTTTTCCTATCCACCTAGTACATCTAGCCACCTTTTGTTTTCAGAGAGCAAGGCTTGCTTTGTACTGTTGCCACTTTAATTCTCTCTGTGACAAGCTGCAGAGCCACAGAAGCAGCCTGGCAGCAGCACTCGAGCTCCAAGTGCAGCAGAAGTAGGGAGCCCTGGAGGAGCCAGTCACAGCTCTCAGTCACTGGCCAGCCCATTGCTTGTAGAAGTTAGCATGCTTAAGTTGACATTGATCCCTCAAGGGACTAGCTACCAGCTAAACAAAACTGGAGCACAGGGCTAGCCAAGCATAGATTCTCTGTGACCCTGTGTCAGGACCTGTCATCCTGTTGTAAAAGCCAGCTATGTTACCTCCTTGCCCTCTGAGACTCCCAGGGAATCCCCAAGTAAATGAAGAGGGGAGTTATTTACATCTCCTTCATGTCTCCAGCCCAATCTTTCTTTTTTTTTTTCCCTTAACTTCCCCCCCCCCGAAAAAAAACAACAAAACCAACCAAAACCCCAAGAGATAATGGAGTACTTTAAAAAGGCATATTTGCTCCCTTATGAAGGCTTACTACAACAAAGCAAGAATAATTTGGTCTATTAATTATATATAACGGAAAATGTGGAAGTATCTCTGTGGTTAAAGAAGTGAGCATACTGTCACTGATGGTATCATGACTGTCGTATAAAGCTGGGAAAGGCAGACACATTGGATTATTACTGGTAGTTTAGAATATTTAGAAGCCGGGAGTTCTATTAAGTCTATTAAATATGCCGAGGGTGGAAATGCTCACTTGCTTTTGCAGAGGAAATAGAGCAAAGATACACCACAGCAGAGAAAGTAGCAGGACAAAGGAGATACTATTGACTCATTCCAGACTGCCGACTTAGCAGCTCAACTTTGTTTCCTTTTAACTTTTGTAACAGTAAGAGCTCAAAGCTTCTCAGTCTATTTTCTGCACAAATAGAAACACCCAGACTTCAAAAAGTAATGTGCTTTGAAGAAACCCAAACCATTAACACATTAAAAACTGTGTGTACTATTAAACAGGGCTTCGTGGTTACTTGAATTTTGAAGCAAGTAGTTGCTGGTGTTTCGGTAATAATTTTTACACTGCTGCATTCTGGCAGACAATTCTAGAGAAATATAAATTTGTAGAGCACTTTTTGTTGGTTTTAGTGTGATGCAGTTTTATTGACTTTGCAGTGGGTAAGTACTGCTTCAATATTTTCACAGGCTGAGTAAACCCCACAGACACTGTTTCCCAACCCAGCAGCATATTGCAACAAGTTTCTAACCCTATAACATTACACTTGTAACACTGGGGAAAGCATATGATGTGTGAAATGTAGATTTTGTCCTCGGTACTTAAGTCTATATCCCTTAAAAAAAAAAAAAACCAAAACAAAGTAATATTTTTATTGTCCACTCTGGACAATGGAATGTCCAGGGCCATCGATATGACAGCTTCTGCGCTGACGGCGTCCCTGTCTCAAAGTGCCATCAGGACCGTGCTCCCTGGCAAGAGAGCGGCCCCCGCTCGCTCCCGGAGGGAGCGGTGTAACTTCACAGACACCCCACGAGTGCAAATGCACCTCGCCTTTCTCACGAGCAATCCCTTGCACAGCGTGCGCTTCAAGCGTCACAGAACGTCACGAACCCGACCTGCTCGGCACCGCGTAAGACACGCCGGTGCTGGAGCGTGCGAGTTGGATGTGACTCGGGGAGCGTTTAGCCGCGGGCTCGGCGGGGCCCTGCAGCCCCCGCGGAGCCGCTCCCGGCGCCGGTCCCGCGGGGCGCGGGGGGGCCGTGGCGGGCGGGGCGGCCCCGCTCTGCCCCCGTGGCGTCGGGGGGCCGCGCCCCCCCCCCGTTGGCGCGGCGGGCTGTCACTCAGGCGACGTCACAATACGCCTGTGTGAGCGCTGTAAACACTCGGGCGGGCGTGTGTGTGTGTGTGTGTGTGTATGAGTGAGTGAGTGAGTGACGCGGGGGCGCGCCTCCCCGCCCCCCAGCTCCCCCCCGCCGCCCCCAGGGTAGCACCGAGCCGGCCGGGAGCGGAGGGGGTGAGGCGCGCCCCCGGTTGTTTCCCTGCGCGCATGGTAGCGGCACGAAAGGTAGCATCACTGGAGCTGGGGATGATGTAATTCTCCCTCCGGCCAGTGACTGCCTGCGCTTGCACCGATCCGACTCGCAAACCGGAGGGGGGTGGTTGTTTTACGCGTGATCGTATCAGCATCTCCTGACGGCGCACCCCCCCTCCCCAACGCCGCTTTAAACCCCGCTCCGCTCATCCCTCCCCTCCCCGGGGCACGGAGGAGGGATGGGGTTGGGGGGAGGAGGGGAGCCCCGCGCCGTGTGTGCAGGGTAAACACGCCAGTGAGCGCCGCGCCGAGCGGTAAACAAGTCTGAGGTGCCCTCCGCCGCACGGCAACTTGCTGCGGGCGGGGTGTCCCCCCCGCACACACACACGCACGCACCCACACTCACTTCCCCCTAACAAAAGCCCGTTTAATATCAGCGTCAGCTTTTGTTCGGCGGGCGGCAGCAGCCGTCCCCTCTCCCGATCACCTTATTTCACCGGTCGCCCCCCCCCGGCCAAATCCACGGGTCCCCCACGCCCCGTCCCCCCTGCGCGCATCCCCGCTCGCTCCGCGGCGCTGTCCCCTCACCGCCTCCAAAGCTCCCACCGCTTCCCCGGAGCTCCCGGTCCGTGCTGCCCGCTCTCTAGGGCAGCAGGCAGGTCAGAAAGCAGGCGGCCCCCCAAACCCCGAAAAGGCAGTAGCTAAATGGCACTTACTGTCAGAAGAGAGGGTGATGGGGGGAAGCTCTTCTCTCGGTGCAAAAGCAAAATAGCCACTCGCAGGACGTTGCCAGCATAGGAGGCAGCAAGGGAAAATAAAAAAGATCTTCCAGTAGCGAGGGGGTGGGGGGAGGGGAGAGAGGGAGGAGGAGGAGGATTCGCCTTTTAACTGGAGAAAAATAAAATCAAAAAATAACCGCGTGTGTGTCCCCCCCCGGTTGCCTTTTTTGTGCAGTTTCAGCAAAGCTGCGAGGAAGTTGGTCCTTTTGTTCCACTATTTATAGATTGCGTCAACATTGCGAAAAGGAGAAGGCGGAGCGGTGGCACTTACTCCTCGCCGAGGGGTGGTGGGGGAAGATATCGGGGTGGAGGGGCGGGGCGGGGGGGGACGTACAAACCCGGCGAGTACAAGCGACTTCAGCGCTCTCCCTCACCCGCCACCGCCGCGACCACGGGGGGAACCGGGCCGTGCAGCAGCAGCAGCAGAAGCAGCGGCGGCGGGGAGAACGGCGGGGAGAACCGCGCCGCTTCCCCGCTGCTTCCCCGCCCGGCTGCCGCCGCACAGCACCGCCCCGCGGGCGGCGAGACGAGGCGCGCCGAGCCGAGCGGCGGGGCCACGGGGAGGGGGGGACCCGCCGCTCGGTTGGGCGCTGATCGGCTCGCCCGTACCCTCCGTCTCCCGGCAGAACCTGTTGCGACCCTCTCGGCTGGGAGCTCCGAGGGCAGGTGCACGCACCACCCGGCTCCGTTTTCTTTACGAGGTAGTGCCGAAGGGTTAATTTGGGGAGCCGAGGGGAAAACATTTTAAAAGCTGGGGGTCGTGAAACTTAAGTGTTTTCTCCGCCACCGAAGAAGAAACAGGGGGAGGGGGGACAGAATTGGGGGGGTGGAGAGAAGGGGCACCGTCGCTTTTCTGGCTGAAGGCCAATGTTTCTAAACTGAATGTAAACAAAGAAAACTGCAAACACCAGAGGAGGGCCTTCCACCGCCGCTAAGGCTGGGGGGACGTGTTCCTGAAGGGGTGCCGAGCTTTGCCCACGCCTCGTTTCCCTCCGAGTCCTGAACGCCCACGGTCACCCCGGCCACCGCCCTCGGGTGCCGCGGGACGGGGGGGGGAACTTTCTGCTGGCGGGAACGGCGCAGGATAGCGAGCCTGGAAAAAAAACAAAACACCAAAACAAGTGTGTTCCTTTTTGTTGTTGTTTTGTTTGTTTCCTTTCAACTTGTTTTTTGTGTGTTTTTGTTGTTTTTGTTGCTGTTTTCTTTTGTTGTTTTTGCTTTTGCTGCCTTTTTTTTTTTTTTTTAAGAGCGAGGGCTCGTCCCTCCCGCCCCAGGAGGCAGAGCCGCTGTGCCCCGGGCGGGCGGAGGCCGGGACCGGGCTTGCCCGAGCCTGCCGAGCGCTCCCGGCTGTGGCCTCGGGGCTCCGGGGAGCTGCTGGTGCTGTTACTTGTAACATGCTCGGGGAAACATCCACGGGGCTCCTGCTCGGTTGAGCAAATTTTTCTGTTTAGACGGGAAAATCCTTCCTTGCTATCACACAGGCCGGTGGGTTGTCACCTCGGGGTTAGAGAGGAGCTGAAGGGAAGGAGGAAGGCTGGAGACGTGCGTGACCGTGACGCCAGTGATCGCCCTAAAAATACCTCTGATGGACCCGCAGGCGATTCTTGCCCAGCAGAAGCACAGCCGTCGAACTAGGCGACTTTTGGGGGTTTTTCCCCCGCTCCTTGTTTTCGTGAGTTCTATGGGCGGATGAGTTCTAATGCATCGGACAACAGATGCCTTCGCGATGATGATTTTCTGGGGGAGACTACTATTCCCTCTGAACTCTCCCCCTCCTGCTCCGCCCAACCCACGCACGGTCCCTGCTTGCGGGGGAGCTCCCTGCAGAGCGGGGAGCGCAGGTAATGCCTGAGGAAAGCTCCGAGCGAATAAAATAAATTCCGTTAGTGTGGTGCCTTTCCTGAAGCGTCCCCTGAATGCCGGGCTTTCCTCTCCTCTACAACTTCGCCGCCAGATCTCCGTCCCACATCGCTGCTCTTGCGATAGAACACCGTGCTTGCTCATCTTCCGTGGGCTCTCTGTGGGGACTGCGGCTACTCTTTGCTCCTGCTGTGGTTGCAGGGAAAAAAAAAAAAAAAAAAAAAAAAAAGGAGAGAGAAAAGAAAATACTAAAGGGGAAAGGAAAAAAATATTAACGAAAATTACGTAGTTCGAAGACGGACGGTGTTGAGTATTGGATTAGTTTTTTGCGTACAAAACCCCTGGCACAAGTGAGCTCTTTTAACAGCCTTTTAAGTGATGGTGCAAAAATTGACTGGTGGTGGAAAGTAGTAAATAGTGGAAATAAAGGATAGATCCAAACTGTGAACCGTGAATAAGCCTTCTTGGAAAGAACTGAAGTGGGTAGAGTAGGTAGGCAATTCTCTCGCTTCTGTTCTGAAAAAGGAGTGCGACGCGTTGGCACTTTTTTTTTTTTTTTTTTTTTTTTAACCTTCTGAGAGAAAAGAGTAAAGAGAGACAAACAGCGTTGTGGTAGAAATGGGATGATAAAAGCGAGATGTAAAAGGCATAAGTACCGAAGTGGGTATGCCCGCCCCGGGCGCTGCCCTGCCTCAGTCCGGTGGCTCGGAGCCGGCGGCTGAGCTTCAGCAGAAGCCACGGCGCTCAGAGATGTTGCAACAGCACTTTGGAAGTCTCTAAAGAAAAGCTGAATTGTTGGAACTTAGGTAACTTAAGGAAACTCGTTATGACCTACATTGCTGTTCTGAGTCAGCAGCTGCAGCCCCAGCCGCGGCGGGTCCCGCCGCCGCCGCGCACCCCGCACCCCTTGGGCGGAACCGCCCCCCCGCCGCCGCCCGGGCTCGCTGCTTCCCGGGTTTACAAACAAACTCGCCAGGATCGAGACGGTTTCACTTCTGCTCTAAGGAATGCCTGCGCCGCTTTCTTTTTTTTTTTTTTTTTTTTTTTTCCCCTCCCAGGTTTGCGGACAGAGCAGCTTGACTGCCTCAGTGCTGTTTTGCCGGCTGTTTTTTTGAGAGGGAAAGAGCTTAAGCGGAGGACAAGCTCTTTCCCCCGAGTTTTTAAGAGCTGTACTTTATTTTCCGAAGGGATACTGATTGTTTTCTGCACCGGGAAATAGATGCCTTATAGGGAAAAGTTACTACATGTTGCACACTACTTTGCTCTTGCGATAGAGAAGGAAACTCTTAAGTTGCAATCAAAAACTTACCAAACAACTTTCCATATTTCTTCTGTAATGTAAAGTAAAAGTAGCAACGATTAAACTCCAAATGTCCACCCTATCAAGATTCATAGCTGAATCCAGTTTGCAGCGAGCTCGAATAGTTGCGCCGGGCATTTGTTAAACGCACGGTCAGCGTCAAGGGAAGAACCCAGAATGTTTTAACACCTTGATTAAAGTAATCTGTGCGCGAAGGTACTGCAACACCCCATCCAGGCGAGGGACGAGGAAAATCATCCAGTCAGCTTTCTTTGATATTCAAAATGACGAAAGACTCGAGATGAAATGACCTCAGAAAACTCCGCCTTTGGAAAACTGCGCTTGCCGCCTCTCCCTTGCCCCCCGCCGTTCCCCCTCAATTCTCACTTTTTGTTTATCGACACGTCGTTGCCACCAGCAGGAGAACTGAAACGACAAAACTTAGCTCCAAACGCCTTGGTTTTCCGGTCAGGCGTTTACCGGGTTTGTGCACCGCTTCGAGCGCTGCTTTTGGTATTATTGTCAATATTACTGATCTATTTTTATAAACTTTTAGAGTTTTATTGGTCGAGTACGGCAACTTACTGCATTTAATAATAGGACAGAAAAATCTAATTTATTTTCCTTTATTTATTTTTTTAAAGAAAATCTCACAGCAGTGATAGAGACTTGATTCGACGCTCTTTAGTAACAACTTGTAGCAGCTGTGTGTTTGTTGCAACAGTGATAGTTCAGTGTCTCCTCTTAAGAAACCAGTGAAATTCGGAGACGGAGACTGAAAGCAGCTCCCCGTGACCCTAAGCAGGGAAGGGGGCAGAAAAATACTTCCTCTAGTTTTGGGTGTGGGGAAAGAGTCGTTTCTCGGTGTGGTGGTGGCGGCACCTTCCCCAAGCCCCGTTTCCCAGCAGATGGGTTTGCAGCTGGACACGGGGGTCGGTCCCTGATGCCTCACCGTGGGGATGAGCCACTGTCGCTCAGCCACCTCCAGCTCTGCGCTCGGCGGGTGCTGCCAACCAAATACAGTCAACGCCTTCGCCTGCCTGATTTTTAATTTTTCAAAGAACCCCTAAAATTCCCCCGTGGTGTCATGGAAAGAGAGAGCTCTTCTTGCTCATAAGCCTCAAATGTCAAGGGCAAAGGGGAGAAGATATTTGCGCTTAAGGGAGGAAAAAGTGAAAAAAAAACAACAAAAACCAAACCCAAACCAAAAAAACCGAAATCCAAGCCCAACAATAAAAGCCCCAGATATATAGGTGGGGAGGAGAGAGTAGTGAAGGAAGAGGGAATGAGAAGGGGGGGCTTCAGCTGTACCGGGACGGACACGGTGCGTCTGCACTTCTAGCGAAGCGGGAGCGACTCCGGCATCCCGCTTTCTTCCTCGGCGTTTTTCTTGGGAATTCTGCGGGAGCACCGCGGTTTCTCCCGGGCTGCACTTCCCGGGATCTGCGAAGCAGCCCCAGGACCCCATGACCTCCCCTTGCCCCAGAGGGCTTGGGCAGCCCCGCGGCGGGACGAGGGCGGGCGGCGGAGCCCCCTCCGCTCCCCCAAATCGCTTTCCGTACGGCCAAGCCCACAGAATGGGCTGGAAAGGCGAGATTTTGGGAAACCTGTGGAGAGAATGGACGTGATCTGCGTGTCGAAGCAAAGCTGAAGGATCAGTAAGCCGCAGTTAACACCGGTCACTTCTACCAAGATTTTTGGGGCGCTTTCTTTTTTTCGGTCTGATTTTTTTTTTTTTTTTTTTTTTTTTTTTTTTTTTTTTTTTTTTGTGGGGGGTAGGGGGGTGTTTAGACCCGCGTAATTTCGTAATCATTTTTCAGTCACCGTTGTCGATGTCCAGGCGTGTGTGACCACGTTGTCAAAGACTGGGCGATTTTTGTTCATACAAGCTGGATCTCCGCGAGGTTTAATTTAACCCCATGCGGCTCATCAGGTTTCTTTCCCCGAAAAAAGTACCTTTCTGGAGAGCCTGCCGTCATCTCGGTACTGCTCTCCATTGCGGGACCGAAAAGGTACGATGCAATGTATGCAAAGTGACTGTAGCCTTTCAGGATGTTACTGAGGTTAAATCAAAGTCCCGGGACGGTAAGAGCAAAAACCTGGTAGCCGTCCAAGAACAAAATCGTTATTTTCAATTGAGTCGAGGTTTGGGGTTTTTGTTGTTTGTTTTTTTCTTCTTTTTTTTTCCCCCTCCCCCCTCCTTTATTCTTCTTCTTTCCTAGCATAGCTGGAAAGTGTCTTTGTTCTTTGTAAATTAGTGGGGTCTTTAACACGTTCTCGTCGCAATTGATTGTTGGGACTATATATATATAGCAAAAATGACAGCGCTTAGCAAAAGAAATGCAGTAACCTGGGTTTGGATGACCGGTGACTGGTGTCCCAGCGAGCTTTTTTTTTTTTTTTTTTTTTTTAACTTCCGTGATTTCAGAACTGTGGCCATGAGCAGGGGGTGTAATTTCATAAATGTCCCCCATGGCAGCCTAGCCGCCTCTGGCCGGAGAGGAGCTGCCAGGCACCGGGACCGTGGGCATGGGGACATCACTTCTCCCTTCTGCAAACGTTAAGTTTCTCGCTCCTTTTCGTTCCCCAGTCCAAAGATTTCTCTGATGATAACCAAATATCTGTGTAATGGCTCGCTTTTGTGCCAGGCTCAGCATCCTGCTCATCCCCTCGATGCCAGCTTTCTCAGCTTCCCATTTTCGAGCACCCCTTCCCGCAGAGATGTCCCCACGCTCGTATTTTTGTGTCCCTTGTCCCTCTCCCGCCCCAGTGACGCTGAGGCGGGGTTTCGTCTCTTGTCAAACTTGGCACAAACGTGGGTGTAAATTCAGGTATTTGAGCTCTACAGACGACTATGTTATCTTTCTATTTGGCGTAATTAAATTATGGGATTTAAAATCTCGTCGTAAAAATACCAAATGCAAATACTCGGCACCATGGGTGTCTGGTGGTACTTTTATTTCTCTTGGCACATCAGGAATTATTTAACATGTAGAAAAAAGTGAAGGATCACATCTTTTTAGCAGAAGGTCAAACGGTGCAATTAAGCAAAGAAGTTCAGAGAGTTGGGAAAAGTTAGAATGCCGCTATTAAAAAAAAAAAAAAAAAAATCGAAAAAGCAGCAACAACTGTTTAGGGTTTCCTCCCCTCCCACACCTCCCTCCAAATGCGACCTTTTGGAGTTGAGTTAGCTGCTGATTCTGGGTTATTTACTCGTTCGGGGAGTCGAGCTGCTGAGGTACCCGATTCTGGTCTCGGGGCAGTTCCTCAGTGAGATGGTGGTGGAGCCAAGGGCCGGGGAGTCCTGGAAGTGCAGCCGTCCTTACCATCACCTCTTGGTCAGGCGAAGCGAGGCGAAGAGCAGCTGCCAGCCTGCTGCAGATCTGGTTCCCAGGCTAGTTTTGGTTTCCGGGGAAAAGAGTGGCTGCCGTAAAATGCTCAAATTGCTCGGATGGAAACTTTCCGGTGTGTTGGAACGACAATGACACCGCTTCGAAACGTAACTTTTGACTCCTCAGAAAGCCTTCAGGACCTGGTGAATGTGAATGACAGTCATTTCCATACCACTCCGCTGAAACTGAAACGTGTGTTCTTGGGGGAGTTTTAGACTTTACTTTTCCATCACCTCTGGAGAGTGGGGGAGTCCTTTATCACCGCCTGTCCTACCATCCATGCTACGGGGCGCCTTGTCCATTTCCCGCCGGTTTCCCAGTGGGGTCTCCCTGCCGCCAGGATTCATTTTCCCCGCTCCCCCTTGCCGCCTTTGGCTGGCCTGTGCAGGACAGAGGGATAGCTTACACCGGTCGCTGCACCGCCACCACCACCCGCTGCCACCTGCCCTGCTCGCCCCGGCCGGGGACCGTGGCTCTGCAGCTACTTCCAAATGATTAATGTTTTGTTATTCTTTTTCCCCCCTAAATAGTTTTTGGTTTTTATTGCTATTGTTTCTCTGCACCAGCCTCTTACCTTTTCTCGCAGACACTCGAGCCAGTGAAGGAAGTGGGCGTGCAGGCAGCTGCGGCAGCCCGGAGATGTCACCTTTCTCCTCTGTACGCTGCCGTTAACACGCTGGCAGTGTTGGTGATCCGGCTCCAGCTGCTGCTGCTACTGCTGGTCAGTATTTACCACCAGACAGTAGTTCATCTCCCGCGTTCAGCTTATTGGTTTTATTTCCGGGAAGAAAACGCAAAAAAAAAAAAAAAAAAAAAAAAAAAAAAAAAAAAAAAAAAAAAAAAAAGAAAAAAAAAAGAAAAAAAAAGAAAGTATCTTCGGCCATTTTCTGCAAACTTGACACCTCGAGCTGCTGGTTTGTCCGTGCTCGGACTTTTTTGGGGAGCTGAAGCGTTGCTGATCTTTTCCTGAGCACAGTAACTGCAAACACCACAGCAAAGTAGCTTGTAGGTCCCATCGGCAGAGCCACCGGCTCCTTTTCCAGTGCTTATCTCTCTACTAGTGACCATGTGCTATCCTGGGGCACAATTAAAGCTTCCCGTGGCCCTGGAACAGTCACCGAGGGCTGCACTCGCTAAGTTCCTTTGCTCCGTGCCGCCTGGCCGGTACACGAGGGACAAGCCCCCTAGGGCACCCGGGGGACAGGTGGGATGGGTACCCGCGGAGGAGCTGTGGCAGTGCCAGGACAGTTCTGGAACTCTGTTGGGACAGTTCACGACAGTTCATTGGGAAAGTCTGGGACAGTCTGTGACTGTGATCGGGCAGTGCTGGGACAGCTGGGGCGATGCTCGGACAGTCGGGTAGAGTATTGGAGCAGTTGCGATAGTGCTGGGACATCCTAGAACGGTGCTGGGACAAAGCTGGGTCAGACTGGAACTGCCCTGGCACCGTTCGAGACAGTGCTGGAGCATCTGGGGCAGTGCTGGTACAGTCTGCAACTGCCCTGGGACAGTCTGGCACAGTCTGGGACAGGGCTGGAATAGTGCTGGAACAGTTAGGACGGTGCTGGTACCTCCTGGGACGGTGCCGGGACAGCGGGAGCAGTCCGTGCTGCCAGAGGGCAGCGCCGGGAGGCGCCGGGTCGGGCGGAGGCCGAGCCGGGCAGGACATGCGGGGAGGAGGGAGCTGCCTGTGGCCCCGCCGCCACTCCGGG